AGGGAAATGACCTTCACTTACGCCACTTTTTTTGCCCTGACGACCACAGAAAATTTATAGCATCAAATTAAATATTTTCTATCAATGCTAGATTATAAAATCAATACATACTATAGTCTATTTTTCATAGTTAAAAGTTCAAAATTTTCATTTATTGTGAGGGTGTACACACTTTCACGCTCTCCCCTCTCGTGGCTACTGTATCTGTCAAACAATTGAAAAAGATTCATCCTTTAACACATGGAAATCCTCGCTTGTAAATACTCTTCAGACAAGAAATGGCAGAGAGTACCCTTCTGAATTATGAAATATCTTTTATATCTTGGCTTGTATTGTATGAAATGATGATGAAGAGTTCTTTGTTCGCTGATATCGCATGAAGGGTTGTTCTCAACTTGAGATTTAACAGACGATATGTGACAATATTCATAACAAATTTTTTTCTGTCTCAGACTAGAAAACAATGATTCTGTTTGTGCACCGGTTCCATCATGTAATGTAGTTTTTTTCAAAGATTCAATGATGATGTTGATCAACAAAATGAACATTGATGAAACATTCGATGGATATAAACATTTGATTCATTTTCCTCACAAATTGTATGTGACAATAAACTTCGAACCATTCCTCTCGATTATCAGTCAACGTGAAAGATAAAATCCATTAATTCGAGTCGTTGTCTACAAAAAAGGAATCTATTTCCATGCAAAATTGTCATGTAGAAATCAAAGAGGAAAAACATCAATACAAGCATTAGAAGTTTTCTTGAAAACTGACAAGCTTTCTGATAAAATAGGAGATATTTTCAGAATAATCAGATTATAACGGGAAAAGAAATCGCATCACACACATTATTTATTCACTTTTCACTATCTTTAATTCAGTCGCAGCAACAGAATCACATGAATCAGTTTCGTGTATTAAGTAAGTCTTTCTTTGAAATAGAGTCACCATATTAATTCTCCCAGAAAAAGTATCGGCGTTAGTATTCGATTCAAAACTTAGTCCTTTGATATCGTTCAAGATTGAATCCAAAGTTTCTGGAATGAAGACGACATATCTGCATGAATTCATCTATTTATTCATTGAAAAAATTAAATATTTGTTTGCTAATGAAAATCAAGTGCAGATGAACTAAAGCCATCGACACATTAGAAGACCCGGGGTCTTCTATTCTGTCTTATCATTCATAAGTTAAAAGGGGGGTCTTCTATTATGTCCCTAAAAAAAGTCATATTTTTTGGTAGTTCCCTCAATAAATCTTAGTTTCACTTGATTTTTGTCCAATATATCGTTAGTAAATGAGTTTGCTTCACTTATTTCACATGTGTAGAATAAGAAAGAAACAGATATCATCCTGTGAAAAAGAGGAGACCATCGTTGGTAAGAAGTGTTCTTAGAACAATACAGTCAACGTAGCCTAGCATCTTGGTACGATATCCCATACCATTCTTTTTTCTCTAGGCTAAGACCTATCATTGGCAACAGTTTGCCTTCTCAATAACTAAATAAACGTAAAAAAGAAAATTAATTTTTTTTATCAAACTCATTTTATTCAGTTGCTTATGTGGAAATTTGATTAGTATATATGGAATCTATTCACAGTGAATTCTGCTACTAGCAAAGTTATTAATCTCAAGCTAACTTCAATGAATACGATTGTCTTGTGAAGAAACCATCTATAAAAAATCAGCAGTTGAATATAGACAGTGTGTTTTCTTTTGCGTCAGTTTCAAAAAATGCCATTGGATCTTATTGAAAAAAGAAATGCGTTCTCAAACTCAAAAGAAGTACTCACATATCAAATCTTGACGTATATACAGTCTACGCAAAAAACTCTGGGACACTCAAGAATGGCTCCCCGAAATTTCATCTTTCATTTGAAATAAACTTTATATATATTTTTTAAGTATAGTTACTGGTTAAACTTTCGTACTTTACTGTGCAGATGCAAAACTTCTAGTTTTAATATTATATGAAACTGTAACCAGTAACTATACTTAATATGTATATAAAGTTTGTTTCAAATGAAATATAAAATTTTGCAGAACCATTCTTGAGTGTCCCAGAATTTTTTGTGTAGACTGTGCATGAAGTTATGTTTTCTTCAATTATGAAAGACTGTTTTGTGGTGAAAACGTTTCTGATTTTCTAGAAGAAAGTCAAAGATAAAGAGACCTTTTAATTCATACAAAGCGGCACTTTACCTAATCTGTTACTATTGTACAAAGATCCCTTCACGTGTTACATGCACGAACGAGCACTGCGTTCATTAGATCCTATGACTATGAAAGCGTGTTTTTCGTGTATAGAGCCTGAAGAATGTTTTCAAAGTAAGCTGCAAAGAAGTGCTAAAATGACTCCATTATATGTTTTTACAAAGAAACGCAATCTTCAATAGATAGTTGTTTCCTATTAACTGCTTCTCTAGATTTTACTCATTCGAGTCTGATACTTCGTTATGAGGGAGGAAGCAAAATATTGTTCGTACCGAATTTCGATATCATTCTGGGCTTAAATACTAAACAAGTCAATAAACTCCAGAAACTATTTCAAAATGTCGATTTTTTAAGGGGGGGGGGGGGGTCTTCTAATATGTCTTTTGCGTCATTTATTCAAGGGGGGTCTTCTATTATGGGGGGGTCTTCTAATATAGGGGGGTCTTCTAATGTGTCGATGGCTTTACTCATATTTGTCTGTTTTTTAAGACTCATTTTGTCATTATTTTTCATGCATTTTACTATCTGCTTCTGACATTCAAATATACTTACTTGAGAATTTTTAAAAGAAGATGATTTGACAGAAAAGACATGATCTGTTCGCATCTTTTGGATAATTAAAACAAGAAAATGTGCGACAGAATTATATTTTGCTCTTAATTCTACCATTCATTGAGAGAAATGCATAGGCGTTCAGTAAAATGTAATATTCTAAGTGAAAACTTTACTCACTATAATTCTTATATTAAAATAAGGCATTGGTCATGAACTACTTTATCATATCAAGATTATAATAAACGAACTTTGTCTCGAGTTCTTTTGATGCTTAGTGACTATTGCAGCTATTTTGGTAATACATAGTCACTAACATGGTATGCTTGGTCAGTGAAATTATACAGAAAAGGTCCGAAAATTGATAGTTACGTTATCCTTGATTATCAAAAAATGATTTTTGTATATACCTAAATCTCTTCTTTTATGTCAAACTTGGATCTATACTGAAATAGCATCATCTAGTAGGGAATTCAGGAAAAGTGAGCGGAGAGAGGAAGAACGAAGAGTGTTGAGTAATATTGCAGGAAAGATGATTGATCCAAAGTATCATTTATAGTAGCATTACGAGCGTGAAACTCCATCCGTGCTCAAACGTTTCCCCGAGACAAGTAAATCACTACGTAACATCACAATTCTTTAAGTGTAATTATTTGGTATTTCTTAGATTCAATCCATTTTCTTATGACGTTAAGAAACTTTTTAAAAACCATCGAATTTTTAGATTAAAAAAAAAATAAAAGTTTCTTTTGGTGGAGAGCGTCTTCTAGATGTTTAGTCTGCTTCATGTTACTAGTATGACACGATTAGTAAAACAAAAATGCAGAAATTCAAATTCGAGTTTTTCATTACCGAATGGCTACAGTGAACTTTTGATGAGTTTAAACGTATTTAACAATCGTTTTTCGTGCATGTTTTCTTGCCTATCTTCTAGTACGTTGAATACTTCATTAGAAAGAACAAACATAGCAAGTAGGTTAGAGTCTTGGAAATAAAAACCGTATCGACATTTAGAACAAATGGCTTTTAATCATGTATAGAAACTACCTTCTATGCAAGTCCAGCATCATCAATGAGTACGAAAGCAATTAGAAGCTAGTAATAACTAACAATGAATAACAAGAGAGGAGGAACGTACAATATTAGTGACTATGTGTTACGGAAAGAGCTGCAAGAGTGATTAGAAATATAAGGAATTCAAAACAAAGTCCGTTTGTTAGAACCTTGGTATAATTATGTAGTTCATCACAGGAGCTTTATTTCCATACCTTTTTCTGAATGCATATGTATTTCTCTCACTGAACGATATAATTAGCAACAGAATATAATTCTGTCAGGAATTTTACTCTTCTAATTATCCAAAACATGCAAACAACGATATTTTGAAAAAGCATGAGTCAATGTGCTTTGACAAGATCAATCGAACGATATATTTTTCTTTTCGATCAGAGTGTGTCATTTCTGTCAAATTATACTTGTTTCAAGAACCTTCAAGTAAATCTGCTTGAGTGGCTGACGGAGTAGAATGAGAGGCGAGCATGAAAAGAAAAAAGAAATTGCGTAGCTCATCTGCTTTTGATTGTCATTAGCCAGCAAGTAATTAATTTTTTTAATAAGTATATGTCACAATCCCCATAAGAATTGCAGTTGAGGTTTGAATGAGTAATGTAATTTAAAAAAAGCTAAAAGAATTTCTTTTTATTTATATAAATTTAGTTGAGGTTGGTGAGTGCGAAAAAATAGAAAAAAATTATAATAGGAAGTAAACTTTACAAACCGAATGAAGTGATTGATTTAGATGAGACTTCACAAAATCAAGTCGTATTAAAGTTCGTGAATAAAAAAAATGATTATCTTTTCTCGAGATTCTTTTTTGCTGCTGCATCAGTAAGTTCAGTTGAAAATTCACTGAGAGTAATTATGCATCGTATATTATCGATTACAGCATTTAGACACTAAAATTAGTTTTCAATTTTATTAATGTTTACAGCAATTTATTACGCCTTTATATCATAATTAAAAAACAGATACGTGGTGCGATGTATATTTGTTTCTAAAAATCGTCCACCTCATACCCTACGTATTGACACAAATATGTCTGATCGATCCCAGACACTAAAGATCAGCTGTAGAATTATCTGCCTACAACCGATCTTCGACAGGGAATAGTCATTCTATATATATATCTATATGAAATTCTTTCTGTTATTTTCATATCTATATTCATAGATGAATTACACTAGTAACAACAACAGTTTTCCTCCTGGTGGCGGAATGGGTCGTCCTGGAGGAGGAATGGGTCCTCCTGGTGGTGGAATGGGTCCTCCTGGTGGTGGAATGGGTCTTCCTGGTGGTGGAATGGGCCCTCTGCCGGGCTTTGGTTTAGTCCTGGTTACATCTATCCAGAAAAATTTGGCTCTCTACGGATACATTACTATTTTCCTCTTTGGCTTTTTCGGTCATGCTACAAGTGCCATCATATTTCTTCGTCAAACCCTTCGTAATGTTTCGACAAGTTGTCTATTCGTATGCATGACTGCATCAGATACAATCTATTTGTTAACGTGTTTCTACAGTTTTGTCTTTCTTGGCCTTGGTGTTCCCACAACAAATACCGATCTTATGAATCTATTGTGTCGTTTTTATTCATTTTTTCAATATTTTTCCATGTGTTGCTCAGCTTGGCTCTTATTAACCATTGCAATCGATCGATGGCTTCGTATTCGATTTCCTTTTCGAGTCAAAGAATTGTGCACGAGAAAAAGAGTACTTATCGGTGCATTCATTATCTTCATCTGTTCGATTGCACTCAATTCACATTTACTGCTGCCATCAATGGCTGCTGTACCTGGCACTATTGCATGTAGTCCTGGTTCCTCGTCAAGCGCTACATACGAATACTTTTACTCAAACGTATGTTTCTTTATTTTAAATCTTGCCAATTTAAAAAACATTTATCAATTCTTTTCAGATCTGGCCTATTCTAATAAGCAGTCTTCAAATAGTCTTGCCCACAATATTTCTTCTCATACTCACTATTAACATATTTATTAGAATTCGTCGTCAACAACAACAAAAGCAACAATTGAAACAAGGTCATCGTCGTACTTTTCTCGATCGACAAATGTTAATAATTATGCTCACTAGTATCTTTCTCTTTTTTGTCACACAAATTCCATTTAGTCTGTTCCATATTCTTATGATTTATGTTCTTCGACCGAGACTTTCACTAGAACAACAACTTGACTTGAATACTATTTCCATTTTCATTGCTTCGATCAATTATTCAGTAAGTTTAATAATATTTATTAGTTTCCGAATTGTTTTCATCATATTATACTTTATTTTAGGCTTCATTTTACATTCATTGTTTATCAAGTCGACTGTTTCGTCAAGAATTTTTCAATGTAATACATATTATTCGTAATCGTCGTATTGGTGTTGTAACGCAAATATTGGGTTTTGAAGCCACTCAAACACGAACACAAACTCAACTAATTCGTTTGCAAGGAGGAAAATTCACAAAAGCATAGACATTCAATTTTCTGTAGTGTCCTTCTTTTTTCATCATTATTCAATAAAATTTTAAAAAAATGTCAATTTTTTTCTATGATATTCAAAATTGATCAAAATGTATTCATTGTCTCTACGCACTATCTGACAGTTTTTCACTCGGCTTACTATTAAATCAACGAATTAGTATGAACTGCCATCGATCATTAACATTGTCAATCAGATCATATCTTTGATGCAACGGAACTTCAAACAATATGGTAAATCAAATTGTTGACCGAAAGACATATCAGAGTGATTTCATCGAATATAAACCTGACTGATGATACCCTATCTTTTGCTACAGAATGATGGACATTTGTTCGATTCGATCAATTGGACTAGAGACATGAGGCTCTACACAGATCATAACGCATATTTAAGGATGAAGCAACAAGAAACACCCTCACTGGGTGTAGATCTGTTCACATCTCCTATCAACCGCGACACCCACCCACATCCATAGTGTACGCAAGTGGGGTGGAGGGAAGAAGAGATGGTAGAAGATGGTCATGAACAGGAACGAGAAAGGGTATCAATAATCTAAAGCAAACAGAAGTTGTTGAACTACATCGCTGAATAAGCATCTTTCTGTAGTGAAATAAAAAAGGACTAACTATTTACTTTTTCTCTTTTGCTATTCTCATTTTACTACTGTCGTTATACTATCCATAGCTCACCGAATTATACGAAATGAATTATTTCTAGTGATGACGAAGAAAAAATCTGATAATCGAAGAATTAAAGAAATGTCAAAAGATCTCGCTGTATCGACAATCATATACTCATTTACGATAACATCGCTTACCGATTCTTCTCATTCTTTCGTTCTTATTCTCGCTTCTTTTTTTTCGTCTATTTTCTTTCTTTTTCTCCTGTATAAGCTAGTGTTGCGGATGGCATAGAGAATGAAATGTAGAGAATTATTCGCTCTCTGTGCTTCTCTTAATCTTTTTTTGCCGTCTCGGGCAAAAAAGAGCCAAGAGAAAAAATACTAATTGATATCATCAATCAAACTATTAGTTTATTATTCTCCGTTGAGGACTAAAAAATATTATCAACCATTGCTGAGGGTGGTGAATCTATATTCACTCTCATCCAATCATCCATTCTCACTCAAACTCTCGCTCTCAGCTTGGTTTGACTTCTTAACTCGGAGAATTTCACCTAAAACGTCGAATCTAACGAGTGAGTCTTTTAGCATTTCTTGCAAGATTATCCGTTACCACGCAGGAAGAAATGTGATCCTATACTCTTCGTACAATGAGATCGTATTTCTCTACATACTATGACGAAGAAATCCGATCGCTACACAGAGATACATAGAAGGTCAATATAAGATCATATCGAGACACTTTTTTTTCGTCCTGGGGGTTTATTGATTGTGAACGATCAAATTTCTGCACATACCATCACGAAGAAACAAGATTGTTATACAACCCGTATAAAATATCATCTCTTCGTTTGCAAGCATGCTTGCTTAGCTCGGGAAGGTAGGATTTCTTCAACTTTACCAATCTATTGCACGAAAGAAATGATACCGTCTTATGTGACAAAGTCATATTAGTAATCGATTGTTGGCTCACATTACGCCAAACACTCATAAAAAGAAAGGTTTTTCAAGAATTATTGGGTTAATGCTGTTGAAAAAGTGGCAGGTGTTTCAATGTATAAAGAGAGTGAGTAAGGGGAAAAGAAAAATCTATCACCCTCATCCTCACTCTTGTGTTCCAGGCGAAAAAAGCCTTTCTTAGATCAAGCTCATCATTTTAAATCAGATATTTTAAATTATTACGAGTGTTATTTAATAAATCATTTACTAGGTTCATTATCATGTACGAATCAAAGTGTTACAACCAAACTAATACAGAAAAAAATACACAATTCGAATAAAATTCAACTAATTTTGAAATAGTATCTGTCCGGATCTATTTTATGTTTATAAAAGTGTCAATAAAATGTACTACAGGAAACTTTGAATTGAATATTAATCAGCGTATCTTTATAGAGTACATCTTTCGACGTCGAATTCTTCT